GACATTTGCCATCTCCACATCATTGCATTCAGTTTTTATTCACAATTTGTTTAGTGTCCCAACTTTATTGGAATCCGGTTTGTAGTTATTGTTTCAGTGATTTTAGCTTGTTTGCTACCGTTAGCTACCATTTTGCTCATTTTTATCTCTAGCACATGTTTGAATGCTTTTAGTTTGCTTTGCTCATTTAGCTTTATTGTTTGTTGTTTTTAGCTATGGTTTTGCTTATTTTAGCATTTCTTCCCCTGCTTTTGGCTACTGTTTTGATAAATTTAGGTTTAATACAATATTTGTTCTTTTACCTACCATTCTGCTTATTTTTGCTGTAACATAGTTAGCTGCTTTTAGCTTCTATTTAGCTCTTTTTAGCTACTGTGTATCGTTTGCTGCTTTTAGCAACTTGCAACGGTTTTGCTAATTTTAGCTCTCACTTTGTTAGGTGTAGATTTAGCCTGTTCTGCTACTTTTAGCTAGTGTTGTGCTAATTTTTGCTGCATCTACTATGTTTGTTTTTGTGACTTTTAGCTCCTTTTGGCTCGTTCTGATGAGTAAAAACTCCCAGGTTTATTTGTGTTTCTTTCTGACTGGATGTCAGGACATTATTCTGGTTCTGACCCGCTTGGATCCATCAGAATGTTCCGTTTGCTTCCCGTCCTGATGAGTGTTTGCTCTGATGGAAATCAGAAGTTAAGCTGTTGACATTGTTCGGCTCCCCGTTCGCCTGTTAGGGAAATCAGCCGATGTTTTTAAACAGCTCTGTTGGTTTAGCTGCTCGTCACTTTTTACCAGGAACGTCAGCTGAAGACGACAGGTGAGCTTTGATCTGATTATTTACAAAACTTAAATCACTTCATGTCCAGCAGATCATTCAAGATTTTAAAGTCATAAATAATAAAATCAGAGGCTTAAATTTCATAAATCAGCCTCTCTAATAAACAAACTGCTTATTTTAAAACATAGTTTTTAATAAACCAAGATTTTTATTCAATTTTAAAGTCCAGACACATTTTTTATTTATTTAAGACGAAGCAAAAATCTAACCTTTGAAGTTTTGTTCAAATGATGAGTCAGCCATTCTTCTGGGTTTATCTTCAATTTCAGCAGCTGCCTTCCTCATTATTTTAGCTGTTTATACATCAAAACCTTTGGCTCATTCAGGCGACAGCTGCTGTGCTGTTTATGTAGCGTTTATTCTTTTGATAATATTTAACTTTGCAATTTCTTCCTTAGAAATAAAGTCTGATTTCTCCAGCTAATTTTAGCTTTTAGATAATTTTGCTACAATTAACTTATAGCAGCTGTCTTGCTAATTTAAGCTTTCAGCTATGTTGCTACATTTAACAAATAACTTTTTCTAATTTTGAGCTTTTAGCTTATAGCAACTATCTTACTAATTAGAGCTTTTAGCTTCCATGTTAGTTATCGTTCGGCACATTTTAGCTTTAACATTTTATGCTTCTTTAAGGTTTTCTTGTTTTGAGAATATTAATTTTAGCATCTGGTAAATTTGTTTGGCTAATGTTAGCTATAGCACAAATTATGCCTCTTAAATTGTTTTACAATCGAAGCACTTTTTACTATTGTTTAGCTACTGTATTTATAATAACGGCTTTAGCTTATATGGTTGTTACATACTTTTTAAATATTTTAGCTACAGTTCTGTTGCTTTTAGCTACTGCTGTTGCTTTTTATTACTGTCTTGTTGCTATTAGCTACTATCCTTTTGCTTTTAGCTACTGTTCTGTTGATTTTAGCTACTGTCCTGTTGATTTTAGCTACTGTCCTGTTGCTTTTAGCTACTGTTCTGTTGCTTTTAGCTACTGTTCTGTTGATTTTAGCTACTGTTCTGTTGATTTTAGCTACTGTCCTGTTGCTTTTAGCTACTGTTCTGTTGATTTTAGCTACTGTCCTGTTGCTTTTAGCTACTGTTCTGTTGCTTTTAGCTACTGTTCTGTT